AACTCGAAAATCACTTACAAAAAAGGTGGAAATGTCCTTTAACCACTTGAAGTCCGCAGTGTTAAACCCCCTTCCCATCCAGGCCATTTTTCAGTATTCAGCGCTGCAGTACTTTAAAATTTTATTTCAGTACAGTGTTAAATGACGGAATAAATGTCATACCATTGTTTGGGGACAGATGGAACTTTCTTTTGGTGGTATTTAAATACCAGTGCGGTTTTAATTTTTTACTATATTAAAAGGAAAAATTACCGAAAAAAAAAAAAAAAAAAAAAAACTTTCCCCTATATTAAAATGATAAAACATTACTAAATTTTTTGGTAAAAAATATAAAAGACGGGGTCACGTCGGGTAAAAAAAAAAAGACACCAAACCGTAAAGCCTTAAAATTGCATGCACGCGGGAAGCATGCACGCGGGAAACCTCAAAAACCGATAATACCCAAAATTGGCCATAGGCGACGCTTTAAAAGCTTTAACCGCTCATCAGTTTAGTGTCATCAGTGATTGATGGCCCTAAAATTATTGCTCTCACTGCGACGTTCACAGCTATATGTAACGTGTGTAGCGCAATTGTCGTTTTCGCACGCTGGTGCACCGGACGCGTATTTACATTTATATGTGCGTTAACGTGGGGTGGGGGACTTGAACATTTTTTTAAAACTTTTTTTTATATGAGACTTATTTTTTACTTATATATATATATTTTAATGCCGTCTGGAGACGGCAACCCGCTAATGCAGCAGTGCCGTCTGTTTTTAACGGGCGGACAGCAACTGGTTAAAAGCTCACAGACCTGTACCAATGCCTTAATTCCATTTCAGATTTTTGGCAATAAGTTGGTTTCAATTCTGACGCACTGACATGCATCAGTCAGATCAAGTGTGGCTATTGTTGCTCCATGCTTGTTTCAGGTCCGTGACTCATGGTACTTAAGGCAACCAAAAGCTAGCAATGACAGCTGTAATAGCTTTTAGCATGTTTCCTTTAATATTAAGGTCAAAAGATTAAGCCATTTCAAAATGTTGACTAAATCACTTACAATAGAAGCGGCTTCTTGATGTTTAAAAGTTTGTTTCCTGCAGAATCAGCTGGTTCTCCGAGCACTTGCACCTTTCAATTATAGGTTCAACCTTTGTGGAGACACTCCGGTTACTAGCACACAACACACAGGCATAGCAAGCCAAGCCACTTCCCTTCCTCCCCCCCCCCCC